TAAAGATGGCAAAGAATAATTTCTACCTACGCCCACTGATCATCATTATTTCTGGATTAACTTGAATGTAGTAACTGACATGCAAGAAAAGATCCTGAACCGTAATAGTCATATTCAGCACCACTTTGACTTTAGAAGACCAATGGAGATCATATTCACTTGTGTTTTGTATCTTGCAAATCATCCATTAGTTTTTAGTTTGAAAGATGGTTTTAAGATTCAGATGACGGCGAGGAGAAAAGTAAAGAATGAAGGGAAGAAAATCAGTGTTATCAATACCTTTGTATCGATCAGTATAATCATATGTATCGATTTTTTAAGTTAATTAAAATGATATAAAATAAAATTTTATTTTGATCAAAATTTAAATGATTCACTCAAAATTTGAATAATTTAATCAAAATTTGATGTATGGACCAAAATTTTGATGTATTGATTAAAATTTTGATGTATTAATTGATACTTAAAATTTCAATTGATACAAACATTGTCTCAATTTTTTTAAAAAAAAATTTCCTAACCTAAAACGACGTTGTTTTGGATAAGGCTTCTTAATTACCCTTGCAATTTTGGATTGCAATCTTGCCTTACCATCCTCCAATCCTCAACCTGGCTCCTCGCCAGTGGTGCAAGCATGCACTACTCTCTCTTCTTGAAAGAGAGAAAAGATTGTTATCTTCTCTCCAATTATATTAATTTATTTTATAATTATTTTAAAATTTAATATTTAATATATTAAAATATATATTTATAACAATAAATTTAAAATAATATAAAAAATTTTAATATTTTATATATACCATTTCAATAAGAAAACTTATCCGCACACCAACAAATTTGAAGAAAATTCAATTGGATTGAATGCAACTTTGACGTCCATGAGAGGGAAGCTCTCTCTTTCTGAAAAGTCCCATCTCTCTTGCTCATATACAGTCTCATAATAAATTTATTTATATTTTCAATCACAAATTTAAAATTTAATCTTTACGCACCAAAAAAAATGGGAAAAAACTTCAGATGACGGCAATATCTCCCATCTGTTCAAGGGAAGCAGGCTAGGTTTTAATATAATTTCCGAGGATTATGGGGGGTGATGAAGAATCGCTGAGTGAAATCCAACAGTCTGTATCTAAATTTTTATTTTTATTTTTGTAAATTTTTTTTTAAAATTTTTTTTCCATCAAGAACAGAGCTGCATCTGAATGACTCGCAAAGTTTCCCACTCTGTTTAAGATGATGTAGAGGTTCCTTTAAGAGAAACCATGAAGGATGGATAGTGGTATTGTCTATAGATGAATGGTCATCAATGGCTTATTCAAGACTGCCAAACAGCTTTAGAGCTTAAGATTGGAAAACGAATTTAAGATATGTAAGTCTAAAGAATCATGTTATACTTATACCTACCTGTACATCTGTGGGAACCTGGAACTCTCTCCGAGTCGAGGAAAAGAAGCTTCAGAGGTGGAACCAAAATTCAAAGAGAAACACAACAAAGCAAAAATAGCTAATTCTACATCTCTCCCTCGCTCACTCTAAATGTTGTACCATAAAAAATGGGGAGTAAAAAATAGCATTTGTACACTAAATTTCATTTCTGTCAACGGTTTTCCTTTTTGGATACTGATAGAAGAACAAAGAGAAGAAAAATATAAAAATACTGGGAACTGTTTTATAGGATAAAACAGAAATCTCATAAAAATATACAAGAAAAAAACTCTTTCTTTCTTCCGTGGGAGTTGAGATATGGCATAGCTTCTTGATTCCTCAGGCGTAAGCTGGTTTCCAATTTCCGGTAACTCTGTTCTGCTGCTATCATCAGGTTCATGCCTGTGAATTTCCCGAACGATCTGATAATCATAGGGGAAAATAAGGGGAAAAAGGAAAGGTTAAAATACAATTCAAAAGCACTCAAGATTTAAAGAATATCTTAATGAAGAATGCGAAGAAAGTTATCCAACAAATCAATATTTTTCATCATAAAGCTACATAACAATATTTGCAATTTGCAAATGCACAAGGATGGATGCTTTAAATGCTATTTCCTCCATTCCTCTCCATTATTCCCGCTTAGTAGATTTAAGAAAGGTACCAAGACAAAATGGTACTAAGATAATTAGTACTCCAATATGGGCCTTCTTTCTTGTTTATCAATCCCTTTTCTTTTAAGGAGTGAGGAGTGAAGAAGTGGTGTTTTAAGGGGGGAAAGAGGGAGACGGGTTCTGCCGACCAGAGAGCGTATTGCTGCAGAGGGGAGGAGGAGTAGGTTTTTTCGTAGGGTGTGGAGTCGGAGTCCAAGATAAAAGACAAATTCAGGTGATTTCCCTTTTTCTTAATTTCTTTTCATTTTTGTTTTTGGTTTTTTTATTTTTTATTTTTTTTCGTTTTTATATTGTGAATCAAACAACACACACTTTATCTTGTTTTCTTGTTTTACTCTCGATCAAATCCGAATGGACGACAGCTCCTCGGTTTTTTATTTTTTGTTTTATTTTGCTCACGTTGGTTTTTTTTTTTTTACTCTTTTTTAATCCGAGTTCTAAAAGTGAGGTGTACATTTCTTTAAAATTTTAATTAATTGACTTAGGTATCAGGTCCGTTTAAGTGTATCTCTTTCCTCGACAATGATCTAAATTTAATCCTTGTAATTTTGTTTTAAAAAAAATTAACTTACAACTATGACCTTAAAATATAAATAGTAGAAATAGAGGTAATTTTTTATATAAATTTTTATATAAATTTTATATATTAATAAATGAATGATTATATTTAATATTATAAATTTTAAATAAATAAAAATAATTAATTATTTAAAAAATTATAAATTAATAAAATGAGTTAAATTAAATAATTTTTTAAATAATTTTAATAAAATAATAAGCGCTCATAATCACACCCACTTTAGGCCGGGCATCCGTATCTCATGAGATGATGCGAGTAAAAATTCTTC